GCTCGTCACCATTTGATCATAGCGTGATGTTTTATAGCTTATAGCACTCAGGAACATTGTGGCTATCCATCAGTGAAAGAATTTTGGCAATCCGACCAGCGGTTCTAAAGTTTACCCCTACATACAAACTTACAAACCTACAAACTTACAAATTTTATCTCTTTATAATATTAGTATAGATTTACTATTAATAAATAAATAATAAAATAAAATAAAATAACTTTAATTCAGACCGTAGTCCATATTATGTTAGTACTCACACACCTTAAAAACTATGTTAGTGAAAAATAAAATACAGAAAGACCTTAATTCAAATATCTGCTGCGTACATTCGACACACCAGGTACATGAACGTGTACATGCATCCAGTGTGCCAAAATGGCGCAACTCGGCTTATCACTGATGACCCTCAGAATGCTGTTGCCGCTCCCACGCACTCTGCGCATCATGGACGCTACTCGCTTTCTTATGATGGCTTTAAAACCATCAATATGTGCGTCAGCAAACATTCCTGATGCACTGCAGTAACGTGGGAGCCCCAACAACATCCTGAAGGCGTTGTTATACTGAACTTTGAGGGCGTTGTATGCCCGCTGCGTATACCGAACCCACAGGGTGCACGTGTACAAAGACTGGCAGAATGCCTTAAAAAGCGTTAATTTCACTTTTGGTGTACAACGTGCAAACCTGCGGGACAACATATTGCATCGGACAGCCAACGCCCTCCGCTCTCTTTCCATGTCATCGTCATCTTTCAAAGACTCAGTCACTATGTGCCCTAGGTACTTAAAGTTTAAAACCCTCTCAAGGGCCACACCGTTCATCGTAACTGGCGGTACGCGGGCTGGCTTTTTGTGTCTCACTTTGAAAACTAACAATTTGCTTTTCTGTACATTATACACAAGTCCGTGTTTTTCTGCATAAGCCTCACAGACCGCCAATAACCGCCTGAGTGCACCGACTGAGGGACTCAGCAGTACCATGTCGTCCGCATAACTAATACTATTGACAAAAAGACCGTCAATAGAACAGCCGACATGTGTACTGCCGAGCTCGGCAATCAGCTGATTTACGTACAGGCTGAAGAGCGCTGGCGAGGTCAACCCCCCCTGCCTCACCCCGCACTCCAACCTGTACTCCTCAGACAATTCGTTGGCCCATCTAACCTGATTCGTTTGATGACCGTACCAATACCGAAACATACTCGTTATGGCGCCAGGCACACCCGCTTCACGCATCTTATTCCACAACAAGTCATACCTAACAAGGTCAAATGCCCTGGAGAGGTCAAGAAAGGCAATTATTATTAGGTAAGTAATTATTATTACTTACCTACATATTTTTCTAAATTAGTTTCAAAGAAATGAGAATTCTATTTGACGTCATGAGTTAATCAAAATAATAGTAGTAGGTATTTATTTACCTAAGCAAGAATTCTTGCTAGAAAAAAACCTGGTTGCTTAAACCACCAAACAAGCATCATGAGGCAGGGTTTTGGGTTCAAGCACAATCCCGCAGCAGGAGAAAGAACGGGATGGCTTTTAGTCAGTAAGAGTCTGACACTCCCACTCACCAGACTCAGAGCGCGAGAAAACATTTGATAAGTAATATTCCCCATATTCAAGAAAAAAACACCATAAGATCCAGTGACCATTATTGTTCCAAAGAAATTTATCGATAATAATCAAAGTATCATCGCCAAGCAATAATTCGTCGATCCCTGTTAGCATAACGAAGTTAAAACAACAGGAGGGCAGTGAATAAGCCGACAACAGGACTCTGATCCCTCGACACTGCAGTAAAAAGTTAGAGCGGTAATAAGTTGTTCATCGTGGCCGTATGCGCAGCTGCCAAAATATGACGCGTGGGGTGCGCGCGCGCTTAAAGAAAGATATAAGATTCAAAGTATTAATGTTTGTTTTACTTTGTGAGTTGACAGGTAAGTATTGTTTATTTGAACGTAAATTATGTATGGATAATTTGAGGTTTATGTACTGTACCTAACACAACGCGGAAATGACGAAATGCAAGACATTATTAGTGGGAGCTTATACTATCTAAGCTACTTAGGTACATGCAAAGTAACAATGAATTTATTTTCATAAAAACGCCATAAGTAATAAAGAAGGTAGATACATTTTATGTGATAGGACGAACTTAAGCAGTCTGATTCCCTGACGTCCGTAGATCTAGATACATACTATCTAAGCGCCGATGGACACCACCAGCAGACGAAAAAGCTTTGTTGCCGGCTCTTGGGGATTACGGGTTGAAGAAAGGGCAGGATTAGGCCGCCGGTAAACTCACTCACACGGCGACACACAAAACTGTGATTGTTTCACGCCGGTTTTTTGTGAGGGACTTTTCAGGTAGGGTCACGTCAATATTCTAGACAAAACTGTATTTTATTACTCTGATAGGAAATGCCGAAACAAATTCAAGAGGTTAACCTCATTTTTAAAATAACAATACCTACCGGCCAAAAGAAGATTTTGGGGAGGTCTGACAAATACTCCAACTGTCAGAACATACTTAAATAATTAGGTGAAGCTAAGTAAGTCTCATATGGTCCTTACGTAGACTAAAATAAACACTATCTACCTACACGCTTACTACAAACAAAACATCTCTCAAAGAAATCTAAGTATCTACAGACAAAGTACCTAAGTATTCTTACTAGGTCACCAGCCAGGATATCAGCGATATAATTAATCGGATATATGAAGCAGGAAGCTCAAGTCATCCGTATAACCAGCTCATCCACCGCCGCTACTGGCGGCGCCCGCGCTTACTGATGCAACTAAGTATCCGACCTATTGCTACGATAACTCATCTGGCTTATCTGTGTCTACGCTGTGAAAGAAAAATATTCTATTTTAGCAAACTTTATGTAGGTACGCGTTTTAAGAAAGCATTCAGAATAAACAACCTACTTACTTAGATCAGATTGAATTCTCTGTCTAGTTTTATATTAGTGACAGTAATTTGTGCCTATCTTTTTGAAAACTCAACAATACCTATACCTAATAAGCTTAGTAGTTAGTATGGTTTATTTCGTATTCTACTACATTTATAACTACATCTACCAGCTATTCTATCATTCTATCCACTATGCCTAAAATCCCTTAACGTAATGTTGTTCTAAATACTTAACTTTTGAAATGTAATACTTATACAAAACCAGTCAACATTGTCGAAGGTTACTAAGTATATAAAATACGTAGTAAATTATTTGTTGTATTAGTAACATTATATAGCATACAATATATAGGTTATGTGTTTTTGGAAAAGTAAGGATATTAAGTAGATACTCGATCCGCACCGTAGAACTTATCTAGTGAATAAAAAAATATAGGTACGAAAACGAACTGTTAATCAATAACTCAGGAACATTGTGAACTATAAAATTATCTAAATGAGAACTCATAATATAACTTTCATCACAAAACAGTTTTTAATTACCAGTCACCGTGAGAAACTAAGGGCAGAGTGCGGCTGCGATTCCCCGGGGGCTACTACTGCCCCGTGTAAACATGCTGACACTGGGCTCTCACCTAAATCACTCGATTATCGTAATGATTTGTAAATAGGAAGTATTCGATTAGTATTAGTTAGTTACTATAGTTATTGATGAGTTTCCTAGTAGGTAATTACTTAGTAAACAAACGAATATAAAAAAGAAACGGCGTTACGGTCCTAAATCATAAAATAGTAAAATAGTTTTATATCATTGTTTTTTTTTGCGTACAAAATCATAATGATATGTAGGTACCTAGCTAGATCCCTGCAATGTGGCTAAGAGATAGGATAGGACAAATAATCAGGAAAATTAAGAATTCTATATCTTAAATATGCAGCACATATCAGGAAAAAACGGCAAATCTCTATAAACCACTTAGGTAATCATAGGTTGCCACGGCTACTGAATACAGTAAAAATGTAGGTCACCTACCATTCCGTCGGCACGAATGGCTCAATTGCAGTGAAACCTCGGCCTCAAAGAAACAGAGGGAAACAACACTTAAGTTATCTGGTCGTGAGATTACCGGACACCTATATCCCTTATTTTCCAATCTCAAATCTCTAACCACCAAAAGGCTCGCATCGCAACGTACCCATAACTCTCCTGGTGTTGTGGGTGTCAAAGGGTGGCGCCAATTTCTTATTATCTACCAGGAGTTTCATGTGATTTTGTGCCGTCCTATTCCATTAAAAGTACGCTATGTATTGACATTATTACTGCTTTTTATTGTATTATCTTTCTTTTCCTTTAAATATCTATTATAAAAAAAAAGCTTTTTCTTTAATTGTAAGATTGCTTTAGGTACTTAACTACATTTGAGGGATCATGTAACTTATTTTTTTAATAGTAATTATTTATTTTATTTGGTAATATATAAGTAATAATGTAAAGTGAATCGAATCACGTTAACGAGTATCGCAAAATAAAGTATCCAAACTGAGCAAAAAGCAAAAGGCGATCTTAGTCACTCGCAATCACGTACCATTCAAATTATTAACTAGAAAAATATAAGAGCAATAACAAAAAACTGATATCAGTGTTGAAGTAACAAATTAAAACACATTCATTCACTCCGTTCAAGAATATAGTCCCCGCCCAAAAGCGAAGCTCCGCCCAACGTAGCGTGCGTGCGCGCATCTTGACTAAACGTTCAGGAATTATCCGCTGAAAGTCGGGTGTAAGCAGACGTGTGGTGTAAAAATCAGACCCGATATTTAACAAGTCAAAATAATTGTAATTTGGGTATTTCTTTTGATAAATTGTTATTTTTCTTACTAAGACATTTCGTTGTGAAGCAATGATGGCTTACTTAATCATAACAATATAAACTTTAAGAAGTGCTGAATTAAATTATTAAAGTATACCTACGATCTATCGTCTTTGAAAACCTTTAGCTTTCATCATAGAACTGTCTACCTACTGAAAAATAACCACCGAGGTAGTTCACTACCAAAAAACAATTCGTTCAACGATCAAAATGGATTATCTGAAAACGAACTTTCCTTCACAACCAGAAGAAGCTACAAAATACCCGGACAGTTTACAACCCTCGCTTTACCAGCCTATCTTCGAGCAGGAAGTCAACGGTTCACCAGGCGAGCTCATCCATCCAGGCTATTTACCTTTCTTTTATGACTACAGGGCTGTAGATAGGGGGTTATGTGAGGGTAGGGAGGCCTGTGACTGGGAGTGGGGGGAGTGGGAGAGCCATGTCGTGGTGAAGGAAGAAAGTGAGGAGCAGGCCAGAGCGTTTGCAGAAGGTGAGTGAAATTTGTTGTTATGCAGTTGTTTTTCAAATTATGGTTGACAAGATGGAAGAGAATCGTTTCTCTTGCGCGATTACAAACGATACACGCACAAGGAAACGAAGATCAACCTACTAGCTTAGGTAGTAGACGTCGCTACCAGAATCATTTTTGAAAAGATTAATTTTACATAAATATCATGTAAGTATATTTGTTTTCTACAATTGAGTTTTAGGAACGTGCGCGCATTTTTCATAACTCGCATCCCATATTATAGGAAGTTTGGTATCCCCACACTAAAAGACCTAGATACTATTTAGATTTAAATTAAAACCTTTGAGTTGTTATTGTGAAAAACTAAATATCTAATAGGTCCTTTGTTAAAGCCGTGGCTTGTGCTCAAATTATCCCTTAGAAATAATACCTAAGGAAACCTGAAGGAAATGAACTAGCTGACGGAGGACGTGTTCTGTGCAATCTCTCACTTCTAAAATATTAAAGTAAAAGCTACATAAGATTTATATTATGTACAATGTTGGTTCCCATAACATTACACACATAATTTAAACTTCCTAGATATTTAAAACACAAATCTGTACCAAAGTCCAAGAAGCACACGATCATAAATCAAAAGTAAACAACTATCAAATCAATAAACAGTGCCACCTTCCTGTCACACCTCAGTTTACGAGTGGAAATGTGCGCGGGCGCAGGATTCGTGACACAAACATAGTTGAGTAATAAAGTAATTGTAAACAATGGACAGTCGGCGCCGGCGCCTGCATCTGTTACTCGTTACACAACGGATGCTATTGCCTGCCCATCGGATAGTTTAGATATTGTTTTATAAGCTTTGAAACCTAGGTACGAATCACAACTTACTTTCTTGAGAACTTTTTGGGTGATAAGTTTTTACAGAATTTCTTGTTGAGTAGTCGTCATTATGTCGAGTGCAACGCATGTCAGATTTGATGTCCTGGAAAAGAAAAGTACCTAATATTGAGATTTCGTTACCAAAATTCAGATAATTTCTCAAAGAATCCATCTAAACTCTATGCTGATCATCTAAAAGAAGGAATATATATTTTTTTTAAATAAAATGTTGACTTTTTCACAAAATTCAGGTACCCAATCTCCTGCAGGCAGTCGTAAAGAGCGTACGGCGTTCACGAAGGCCCAGATTCGAAGCTTAGAAGCGGAGTTCACGCGGGCCAACTATCTGACAAGACTGCGTCGGTATGAGATAGCGGTCGCATTGCATCTTACTGAAAGACAGGTAAACAATGAACACGTTTTATTATTACTTCAGCTTTCTAAGGCCGGTGGTGGAACGCTTGAGAGAAATATTCTCCTCATGCCCCAGCCGCCGCAGTAGGCGACGGGATCGAGCAATGGTACTCGTGGTGACTCGAGCGTAATCAGTGCGAAAACTCAGAGACAATAGACCACCACCGATTGAGGGCCGATGTAATGTTCAGCCAGGGGTTGCAGTTCCAGCTTAATAAGGTACCGCAGCCTCGACCTTTAGTAGAAGCAGGAACGGGTGGTTTTTAGTCAATAAGAGTCTGACATTCCCTCTCGCCCTGAGCGAGGGAAGACATTTGATGATTTCCTCTCTCAAAAAGAAAACATTCTAAGACCCCTGGCGCGTTTCGTTTTTAAACCTACCTATAGTTATTGTTAATATAATTAAATGTTCCGCCATAGTTCAGCAGGCTTTTTTTTGCCCCACACTATGATTTTTTCTTATGTCGTGGGTACCTTTAAAAATATACAATTTCACATACACAGACACCCAGACCCGGAACAACAATTTGGGCATTGTGCACAGAGTAGTTTTGTGCGGGAACCGAATTCGCGTCACGTTGCACAGCGGCCAGTTGCCCAGCTACCGCGTCAACAATTGACGCGGTCTAGAATCGAATATTCTGCTATGATTATTTCCTGATTATGCCGATTGCTTACAGAAAGCAATTTAAAGTGAAGTATGAACCAACCGACAGAATTTTACGCCTATTTATCCCCATAAGTAGAGAGAATACATACGAACAATTTAACACTCACTTTTCCCCAAGAGTCCCACCACGTAGTATTTACTGCAGTAATTTTCTACTCGAGTTCAAATTAAGTCTATAGGTAGGTACTAATGCCGGGGCTGCGGGGTAAGCGCAATGAGGCACCGCGACCTCGGCCCAGAGCAGGAGAAGGAACGGGGGGGTTTTTAGTCAGTAAGAGTCTGACACTCTCTCGCCTTACCCTGGGCGGGAGAAGTCATTGGATGATTTTCCCCTGACAAAAAAAAAAAAAAGGTAGGTACTAATATTATAAAGGAGCAACATTTTTAAGTTTGTATGAAGGGACAGCTTTGGAACAGCTGGTAGAATTTCCTTAATTCTTTTACGTTGTTCCTGGGTGGACCCACCCTACGAAAAATAGAAGCCAAGCAGTGGTGGAAACCGCGCGAAATAAAATGTCTATTTTATTTTGTTACAGGTTAAAGTATGGTTTCAGAACAGAAGAATGAAGTGGAAAAGGACTAAGGGGGCGAGCAAACATCAAAAGAAAAAGGAGGTTAACGGCCCTCACTAGTTTTAAGTACTTACTTTAGTATTAGAAATATGGAACTTTATTTAGAGATATTTTACGATTAGTTGACGTCGATAAGTTTTTATTGTTTGTGTAGATATTTTTATTTTGGATATTATTATTTGTAAGTACAGAATAATTGCAAATAACAATTTCTATAATTTATAAAATTATGACACTTTTAATACTATCGCATAAATGAGTAAATAGGCAATGGGTATGAAGCTTATGTAATAATAGTATGAAGAAAACACAACAAGTCAGGAGATAAGATATGTTTATTAGACAATTCATACCTCCGGCACGATGCGAGGCACGTGCCGAACAAATAATAACTAAAATAATAATAATATTGTGAACTAACGCACTATCTTTGGAAGAAACAAAACTCCGGGCTATGGGCGGCTACAATTTGTTCAAAAACTTAAAGAAAATTGTCGACGAAATTATAATGATAACAACAGCGGGGGAACTTCCAAATTACTAAAATACTAGCAGTATTTATATAACATTGATTGCAGTCAGGGCGGCGTCAACGACTCTGAGCGAGCTACATACAGCTCCCAAGTCAAACACAACTATTGGTCTTTTATGTTCATTTGGCAGTACTTCAGAAACAGGTATCCGGGCCAGTAGAAGATATCACAAAGTATCGATACATACAAACAATGTCGAAGCTCTACCTAGCAAGTAACTTGAAATCATTACAACTACATAATTGAAAATTATACTTCCTTAACCTAAAGATATCGTCAAATAACTAAAACAGTCGGAACAAGGGCGGCCGACGAACGAGACTAATTGGAAGACTACGAGGGAATAATTATTAATTACAGAAATATAAAGAGATTCAATTAGTTCATTTAGCAATGTTGGGAAGCAAGGCGTATACAATAACAGTCCTTGTGCCTTCAGAAACTGTATGTAACTCAAAGTGAGCAAGGATCGTTAGGAACGTCGCCTTAACTAACGTTAAATTTCCGTGAAACTACGTTTAACATTGGACCTAGCTATATCGTTGGACCAAAAATAAAATAGCTAAATTTCAACAATATAGATATATAATTATCATGTTTAACATTGCCCCTGCGTTTGCCGATGTAGTGGTACGGGGTTCTAAGTGCCTCTGGCGTATACAATAATATACTAACTGTAGTTTACTATACAATTTAACTTGAAAATTAACTATCGACTCTCACTATCTTACGATGTAACCCGGCCTGAGTTCGAGTGTTAAATGGTCCTTTAGAAACTTGCACATTCACAAGTAAACAACCATGATTTCAGACTAGCATAACTACTATTAAAAACAATAATTTTGTCTTTTATTTCACACGATTTGATGAATACAATGACTGGTCGTATCTTGAATAGTTTGCGTGGACGAACATTGTCGCAATTTGAAGATAACGTCGCGAACTCCCTTCTACTTTCAAATCTGTTTCAAAAATATTATCTGTTAAAAAAATATAGTTTTACACAACATCGAGACTACAGCAACAAACGCAGGGCACTCATCGAGAGCTTTACTTTATTTATTACACATATAAAAGTCGTGAGAACTTTCCGTTTATTGGCTCCCGTGGTATAACTATGTACAATGTGATTACATACTCTTTTATATTCATCTGTCAGGCACAAATTTAATCACCAACTTTGTATTTAAATGTTCATTAATTTTACAATGTTATTGTTATATGGGGACATTTATAATTAGCTTATAAACAATTTCTTAAATATTTTCTATATATCATAAGTATGTATAATGGATTCACAAAAATATTGTGTGCATTCTAAATGAGACGATGAAACATGAATCATAACTTGGCGAAATAATTGTTTAATAAATAAATAATAATGTCAGATTGTACTTTATACTAACTCTAAATGTCCCTCCGAATCAATTATTGTTACGAATTTAAATCAACATACGAAATCAACGTGTAAAAACGTGTATTATTCCAAAATTATTGTTTATCTCTACTTAATTGGATTTTAGCTCGAAATGAGTTCCTAATGCATCCTTATATATAATTAACAGTTGGAAAAATATGTTCCGAGTGATATTCTTACAAAGTTACGCTATACATTACTTTACATAATTGTCTAGGTTCATGCGAATGATACGAGGTGATGCGGCGCCCGCCATTCTCCCTACGCCTACAGCGGCGAGCTAGTGGCGAGCTAGCGAGCTAGGACACGACCACAGGTGCCTAGGCCACAGGCGAGTGCCTGGCCACACTGTAACACCACCCTTATTGCTACGACATAAGGTTGGCCGCCTTACCATAAATGTGCTATTTCTTGCACAATCTACTTACACACGTGTCTGTACCAAATTGGAGTCAATCATCCCTTATTTCCAAGGAATTGCACATTCCAATGTAAACTACACTCTATTGCTAACATTGTAAAGATCTAAAGTACATTGTAGGGCTTAGAAGCGTATAATAATCTTCATAATGTTAACAATAAGTTGTAAATTCCTTAGAAATATTATGGAAGGCTAAGTAAATAAATTATAAATGCATATTCTCACCTGACTAGAGAATTTTGAATGTTTCTCAGCAAGGAACTATAGTTTTAGTAAATAGTCAGGTTTGATTATAAATAGTAACTAATATGTAAGCAGGCCTCTTTTGAACTTATAATAAATTAGTATTAACCGAGTCAATGTTGTTTTAATCATCACAAACCATTGTATTATGTCCCTACATGGCGTCATTACTTATATAGAGTACTCTCTCATGGAGACAGAAATTATAAAGCCCCCTTTAGATCATAGTTACACAAGTATTGAATCTAAAAGGCAGTCCACATTATCTTACGAATATACTTGTTGATCTGTCTCAGCTACAAGTACGTCACTCGAGTAAGGTCTGTGAGCACAGTAGCATCCACAACATGTACCAGTAAGCATGACACCTACAGGATCAGCACAAACCATCGCATCATTTGCACAAAATGAAAAGAAAAAATTAAAAACCTTCAGAGTAATATATTTAACACATTCCTTGTCACCATTTTCACAGCACGATGTCCGTCACTACACTAATATATACACAGTATAATTATTAAGGCTTTTCAGGTGCTTTCACTTATTGCAAACGTTCGGTCGTGGCGTCAGTCCGGCCCGAGAGACACGAGCACGTACAGCAGGCGTCGTTAGGGGCGCGGCGCCTCCGTCGCGGGCAGCGCCGCCAGCCCCGGCAGTCCCGCCAGCCCCAGCGCGCCCTGCGGGATCACGGTCAGCGAGCGCGGGATCTTGGGCAGCGCGGGCCCCGCCTCGCTCACTATGGACACCGCGGGGCCCAGCGCCGGCAGCTTCAGCGTCGACCCCACCAGCAGCGAGGCGGACGACACGGCCGCGGGGGCCGCCGTCTGGGACGTCACCGTCGCCGTCTTCTGCGGGATGGGTGCGATGGTGATGTTCTTGAGGCCCACGTTCTTGAGTATAGTGGCGGCGTTGGTGCCGATCTGCGCCATGTCGGCGGCCTCCTTCTTGTCCTGCGCCTTGTCGTCGGCCGCCACGTTCTGTACGACAGTGCCCCCGTTGCCCAGCATGGCGCACTGGGCGTTGGACGGCTGTATGTCGGTCACGACGGAGTTCTCCTCAGTGGACTGACGCTTGGTCTTCTCCCCGTCCTGTATTTGCTGCAGTTTCTCCCTGCGCATGATGCACATCTTGTTGTAGTCCTGCAGAGTGATGTGGTAGCGCTTGCCTGAGGACATGACTTGCACGAGGCTGGGCAGGGTGCGTCCGTCCACTGCCACCTGCGTCGGTTCACGAGCTATCTTCGCCAGGTTCTCCTGTAAAACCAATTCATACTAGTTCATAATTACAAAATAAACATTAGCAAGAGGTTATCATAGATCAATTGCTTCTTGAAACAATTCATTATTTGCAATTGATTAGTTGTAACCTCTTATAGAAAATGAAATGAGCATGTATTACAATGTCAAACATTTATTTTATATCGATTTAATTTGATTAATGCGGAGTTTGTTCTTTTAAATTGTTACCACTTAATGACCACACAATATTTTCAATACTTTGTGCAAATGATGATAAGTGGTACTGGTTTAAAAGTTTTTTTTATATAAGGTTAATAGAACTCACCGGAGTGATAGGCATGAGTGTAGGTCTCCAGGGCTTGCTGGTAGTCTTGGGTTTCTTGGGAGTTTCTTCTTTTTTAGCATTGTCCTTCTTTTCCTTGGCGGGGGTGACCACAGCGGGCTCGTACTTGGGGGGCGCGGCCGCGGACGCTGCGGGCAGCGGCGTCAGCGTGGCGGGGAGGGGGGCGGGGAGGGGGGCGGCCGCGACCTCGGTGGGGTCGGAGGCCGACACTCCCTTCACGAGCTGCTGGATGTTGTGCAGGACGTTCTGGATGGCCTTGCGGCCCTGCGCGTTCGGCGTGTTGATCGCTATCAACTCGGGAGGCAATGGCTTTGACTTCGACTTATCTCCCTTCGATTTCTGCTTAGGTAACGCTCCAGGAGGCGGCATGAACTTCTTATTGCTCTCTTTCTCCCCTTCGCTCTGGCTGGTTTTCAGCAAACTCTTGCCATTGAGTGAAGGTTTCTTCCTAAATTCTATGAGGCTTATCGCGGGCTCGCTACGTCTGGGTGCGTCGGTGACCACGTTGTCGTACGCTCGCAGTCGGCTTTGCACGGAGTCACTGTACGTGGCCGCGTGAGGAGACGCGTTATGCGATAATATCAAGTCACCACTTCTAAAATATTTCTCTAGCAGAATAAGGTGACGTAGGAACGACGATTGGTTGCCGTACGGCCGCTGGAGCTCGTTCCAAAGCTTCTTAGTCTCTACGTCATACTGAATCATAGTGTTGCACTTCTCCCATCCTTCAGGAGTGACTCCCTTCACATTGTTAAACTCTATATTACACTGTAAGTTCATCTCCTCCTCGCCCGGGAACAGTTCGCGGACTGATATCGAAGGATTAGTCTCCAGCCTCTTGACAGGGTTAGAATACCTGACCTCG